TCAAATTTTTTGGACAGATTCTTGAGGCCTGAAGGATTTCCCACCACAACTCAATACTCACTGGATATGTGCCATAACACCTTCATCTCTAATGCCCGCACCATCTTTCAAAGGCCATAGTGCACACCACTTCTACTTTGGCAGTTATGCAGCAAAGCCACGCTGAGGCACAAACATTGCCAATGAGCAATGCTTCATTACGTTTGTTAGAATGTATACCAAGAAGTAAAATTTGTAACTAAGTACTGGTTCTGCGCTTTTCATAACATGACAATTTGGGTGTGTCAGTCAGTACTCTGATTGGCAGAGCAACTGATTTCGTGTTCAGTAACTAATTAAATGTCACAATTTACCCTTACAAAGAAACAAATCTCAATATGCCTGTTGAATCATTGTTACGAAGTTGTGTACAGTAATCATTAATTGCAAGGCAGGAAGCTAGAATTTGTCAAAAAAAAGGGAGAAGAGTGCATGGTTCCTTTAAGAGGTAAAGTACTTTTCTAGGCTCAGAGATTTATACAGGAAACAAATGTATCTGTATGTAGCTGAAGATGGACAACCAGTTCTGAAATTGAAACATGTATCAATTTGTAGTGTGACTGGAAACCTCAGGCTTGTTTTGATGTTTCGGCAACTAGCTGGAATTAGCCAATTAATTTAAACCAAGCACTTAGTGATTGAAAGCCAATTGAATTTAAATCAGATGGTTTTAACAACCTCGGGCCAATGCTATTCTAAGAAAATTTGATATGTCATTCAAGGTATATAAGGAGAAGGTTTTTGAAAATCGGTGTGAGACCGAACCACCATCTGAGAAATAAGCATCTAGCTCTCTCAAGGATTCACTAAGCTCTCTAAGAAAGAACCATCTATCCATAAAAGCTACCATGGCACTCCCAGCTAAGAGTCCTCACAGAAGACCTCACAGAGAAAACATCCCTGACAGCCAGATCAGCGGAAGAAAGGTGTTTATGACTTGAGAACAGTAGAAGAAAGGCATGAGAGACCAAGTTTTAATTTATTTTCTTATATATGTGGGACTTGTGTTTATTGGAACAGTGTGCTTGTAGAATTTAGATCAGCAAGGGAATAGTTAGCAGTTAAGGGGGAATTGTTTGGTTTGTTAGTATTTCTGTTAATTTGTTCACTTTTAGGGTTAAATAAATAAATTGTTACTTGTTACTTATAAAGTGAATATCAGGGATTTTCTTTCATTTAACCTCCTCTTCTCCATAACAGTTTAGCAGATTAGGAGGGGAGGCAAGCTTCTCTGGGCATTTTGGGTTTAGTTATTAGAAGGGGACCTCTACTCCCACTGTAACAGGTTAGGGGTTTGTGTTTCACTTTTAATTATCATAGGGATTCGACCTCCCTTTCCAGCAATTATAGAGTCATAAAGTCATAGAGCTACACAACGTGGAAACAGACCCTTCGGTCCAACTCGTCCATGTCAACGAGATATCCTAAATAAATCTAGTCCCATTTGCCAGCATTTGGCCCATATCCTTTTAAACCCTTTCTATTCATACACCCATCTAGATGCCTTTTAAATGTTATAATTGTACCCGTCTCTACCACTTTTTCTGGCAGTTCATTCCATACACGCACCACCCTCTGCATGAAAAAGTTACCCCGTAGGTCCCTTTTAAATCTTTCCCCTCTCACCTTAAACCTATGCTGTCTAGTTTTAGAGTCCCCTACCCTAGGGAAAAGACCTTGGCTATCTATGCCTCTCATGATTTTATAAACTTCTATAAGTTCACCCCTCAGCTTCCAATGCTCCAGAAAATGTAGTCCCAGTTTATTCAGCCTCTCCCTTTCGCTCAAACCCTCCTACCTGGCAACATCCTTGTAAATCGTTTCTGAACCCTTTCAAGTTTCACAACATCCTTCCTATAGCAGGGAGACCAGAATTGAATGCAGTATTCCAAAAGTGGCCTAACCAATGTCCTGTAATGCCACAACATGAGCTCCCAACCCCTATGTTCAATGCACTAACCAATAAAGGCAAGCATACCAAACACCTTCTTCACAATCCTGTCTACCTGGGACTTCACTTTCAAAAAACTATGAACCTGCACTCCAATGTCTATCGGATATAGAAATCTTTAGATTCTGATAAAGGGCTTTGATTTTAGAATCAAAACTTATATTTCAAACTCAGTTTATAAAGTTAATGTAACACTAATCAGGAATTAAAATATGGCAATGTGTTCTCTCTTCTAAGAAAACAATTATTATATAAAGGATGAAGAAAATCAGAATGCATTAAAGTAAGTCGGTGCTTCATTTATGAAGAAATTATGTGGTGTAATAATAGTCTAATGGAGCTTCTTTCTTATATTGTGAATCATTCTGAAATGCTTTTAGAAACAAAGATCTTTGCTTGCACTAATTAAATGGTATAGCCAGTTCGAAGACCTTTATAGAACATTTTGTAACATAATGCCAAATGACTATTGGACATATTATCAAGGTATTTTGTGCTATTTTTACTTACTGGTATTGTGATAAAAGGTGTATAATATATAATTATCATTTGGCATTTGAACTTTAAATTAGAAGCAGATGGATTTTATATGGTAACAAAAAAAGAAATTGCTAGAAAAACTCAGCAAGTCTAGTAGCATCTGTGGAGAGGGATTGGAGTTAACATTTCGGGTCCAGTGGTCCTCCTTCAGAACTGATGGTAGCTATGAAAATGTTTTTTTTAATGCAAAAGATAGGGTGGAGGAGGACGTAATAAGTAAACGATGGGTGGAGTTAGAGACCAAAGAGAGAAAAAAACAGTTGAACAGACAAGGGAGTGGATAACAGTCAGCCTCAGAGAATGAACAGCTACTTATGGGGATTATTAGTGGCTAACAATGGGTTGTGTGTAAAATCAGACTGTGATAACAAGGCCTGGTGTGTGGGAATGGGTATAAGCATGGGGAAGGTGCTCAAGTGCCTCTAATTTCCAGCATCTGTAGTTCTTTGTATTTTTTTAGATTTTATTCAGTTCTGTGAAGAGTTTCTTGAAAAGGTCATAAAGTAATTTGGAACATGGACGGAAGAGACCAAGAAAGCTTATGACTTCTGTTGCTAAAGAATATCTGCAATCTTGTGTGAATAGGTTTTGGTGACTAATCGTATGATAATGAATAAAAAAGTAAGCAAATTATCCATGTAGCCAGGTTTCATACTGGTATCCAACTTGTGCAGTATTTCAGTGATAGTAGGAACTGGTCTCTTTCTTTCAAGGACTTAACCAATTTGCCACAGGCAACACACAGTTTTTCTGTTTTCTCTTTGTCTCTCTAGTCTAGTCTATGTACAATAAACCATCAGGCTTCTGCAGTAACCCCCATTTCTGATGAAGGGTCTAGGCCCGAAACGTCAGCCTCTCTGCTCCTATGATACTGCTTGGCCTGTTGTGTTCATCCAGCCCTGCACCTTGTTGTCCCAGTATTTCAGTCAGCTGGGTTTATAACAGTACGACAATAACTTGATTAAGTTTTTCAATATAGTGGAACTACAACTAATGACCTCTCAAGATACATGGCATTGGTAAATAACTACATAGAACTGTTTGAAAACCAACAGAAAACATGTTATGTTTATTGGAAATGAAAGAAGCTTCCCTGCAGTGAATGCAGAATTTCTGAGTAGAAAATAACATGCAGAAACTGGCTTAAGATTTATGTACATCTTTTGTCTCACCAAGAATGTGTTTACAACAGATGCTAATGACGAAAATAAGAGAATAAAGCTATTAATTGAAGAGGTGGTGTTAGGAAGCATTGCGTAACTGAAAAGATTCTAATAGAAACATTGGCTGGAATTTATTGGAGTTTGCAAAGATTATACCATTGGAGTCAGAAGTGTAGGGTGGGGTGGGATGATTCTGCTTTGCAAGAGCCATGGCTGTTTTATGCACTGGAACCAACTGTTCCCAAGAATTGCCAATTTAATCAGAGGCAACTCAGCAGCATCACTGAGAACAGTGGTCACTGCTGAGACTGGCAGGAGACCTCGAGCCTACAGCAGGGATCTTCTGACCCCAGGCCAAGGGCAAGATGAGGAAATATTGGGGTAATCATTGAGAAAATCATTGGACCTTCAGGGACTACCTTCCCTTTCCAAGACCCGTCCTGGTTTCATTAAATCATCCCCCTCCCAGAAGGCTCCTGGTTCAAAGCCTCATGCAGCACTGGGTTGATCCACTGTGATCTTTACATATTGGTCTTAATTTCCTAATTGGTCTTTGTGTATGAATATTGGCTGGCTGCCTCTTTGGAGTGACCTACACTCCCAGCGCACACTGGGGGACCAATCTGAATTGGCTCCTTATCATTTCCAGCACCTTGGGAGTTGATAAAATCCAGCACAGTGTATAGGACCAGAGGACATGATCTCAGAATAAGGTGGCCATGATGTGGAGGTGCCGGTGTTGGACTGTGATGGACAAAGTCGGAAATCACACAACACCAGCTTATAGTCTAACAGATTTATTTGGTCACAAGCTTTCGGAGTGCTGCTCCTTTGTCAGATGCGCTGCACCAGTTGTCACGTGACTTCTGACTCAGAATAAGGGGTCACTAATTTAAGACCGAGATGAGAGGAATTTGTTCTCTCAGCAGGTAATGAATCTGTGGAATTCTTTACCGCAGAGGGTTGTAGAGGCTGTGTAATAAAGACATTCAAGGCTGAGTTAGATTTTTAATCAGTAAGGAAATCAAGCATTCAGGGAAAAGTTGAGGATTGTCAGAGCAGCCATGATCTCATTGCATGGTGAAACAAGCCTGATGGACTGAATGGTCTACTTCTACTCCTACATCTTATGGTCTAAATTCGTAGAATACCATGAAAAATAACAATGTTGATTTGCAAAACTAACTTGATATTTCAAACTTTTCAGTATCCTTTCCCCAAATTAATGGAATATTGTTTTCATCATGCAGTCATGCTATTTTAAATAATAGTAAAAACTAACTAAACATTTCTTTACCTCTCTACAGGACAAGTTGAAAAATATCCTACAAAACCTGAGACATGAGTTGCAAACAGATCTAGCTGTTAGCTCCTCTGAATACAATGCAGCAGCAGTACAGAAAACTCTGCTTCTTGGCAAAACATTTGACAGAACACATAGAGCTGCAGACAAGGAACCAATCCAATTTAAAGATGATGATAAAGGAAAACATGATTGGAGGAAACCAAAAGAGAACTCAGACCTGACTGAAAATGAGAACATATATCCAAGAAAATGGCAAAAACAGAATGGCGTTGAAAACTTGAGGAAGAGACTTGCCACACGGCTTTCTACAACAGATCAAGACTTCCAGTAACATATTCATTCTGAAGAAAAGTGGCAAGGACATTTCACCTATCAAGATCACACTGTTCATAATAGATACTTAAGTGACCAGTAATGTTCTTACACCAGTTTCAGGAGTTTCTGAAGTAAAGTTTACTTAAAGCATTGACACCTGTCATTATCACTTTTCTATCCTTTAGGTTTCAAACTTACTTGTAATTTATCAATCTCCAGTACTGAGTAGATGTTGCAACTTCCTGCTCCACTCATATTACTCTGAAAAGATAATCCAAATGTTCTATTAAATGACAAAAATTATTCTTCTTCCAGGTACATAGCTTCCTTTTTATTGTGGAAGTGAAGTTGGGATTTTGTTATTATTGAGGGACAACTTCAACTTTATTATCTTATTATGCACCACATAATGAAGCCTGCAAAAGAAAATCCTAAAAACGTCTTCAATTCATTTGATCTGTGAAGATTGTTTGTTGGAGGATAGGGGTGCAAGGATATTTTAGGTCGTTGATGGCTGATAATTGCATACCAGCTTTCCCAGATCAGTAGCGTCTCTACTTACCAATCAAACAGATAAATGGCTAACATAAGTTTCAAGTAGAAACCCTTTGTACCACAATGAAGAAAGCATTTCCCACTGCAAGATGTGTTCAAGCAGCCCCTTACCTTCCTCGCTGAAAGAAACTGGAAATAAACTGCTCCATAACCAAGTATGAACATGCCAGCAAAGTGCCCCAAGTTGGACGCACATTCAAAGAAATGCATATTCCCAACCCAGCCTCCTTGATTGAGATAAGCTTTATGAGGGAAAAGACCATAAGACATAGGAGCAGAAATTAGGCCATTCTGCCCATTTAGTCTGCTCTGCTGTTCAATCATGGCTGATATGTTTCTCAACCCCATTCTCCTGCTTTCTCCCTGTAACCCTTGATCCCTTGACAATCAAGAATCTATCTATCTCCATCTCAAATATACTCAAAGACCTGGCCTCCACAGCCTTCTGTAGCAGTGGATTCCATAGATTCATCGACCTCTGGCTGAAGAAGTTTCTCCTTATCTCTGTTCTAAAAGGTCTTCCCTTTACTGTAAGGCTGTGCCCTCGGCTCCTAGTCTCTCCTACCAATGGAAACATCTTCCCAACATCCACTTCGTCCAGGTCATTCAGTATTCTATAAGTTTCAATTAGACTCCCCCCTCATCCTTCTAAACTTCATCAAGTATAGACCCAGAGTCCTCAAACGTTCCTCATATGTCAAGCTTTTCATTCCTGGGACCATTCTCATGAGTCTCCTCTGAACCCGCTCGAGGGCCAGTACATCTTTCCTGAGATATGGGACACAAAACTGTGCGCAATACTCCAAACTTGGCCTGACCAGAGCCTCAGAAGTACATCCCTGCTTTTATATTCAAATCCTCTCAAAATAAAGACCAAAGTTGCATTTGCCTTCTTGACTACTGACTCAACCTGCAAGTTTACCTTGAGAGAATCCTGGACTAGAACTCCCAAGTGTCTTTGCACTTCAGACTTCTGAATTTTCTCCCATTTAGAAAATAGTCCATGCTTTTATTCTTCTTACCAAAGTGCATGACCTCACACTTTCCCACGTTGTACTCCATCTGCCACTTCTTTGCCCACTCTCCTAACCTGTCTAAATCCTTCTGCAGCCTCTGTGCCTCCTCAATACTACCTGTCCCTCCACCTGTCTTTGTATCGTCTGCAAACTTAGCCAGAATGCCCTCATCTCCTTCATCTAGATCGTTAATGTATAAAGTGAGAAGTCATGGTCCCAACACTGACCCTTGTGGAACACCACTTGTCACTGGCTGCCATCCTGAGACAGACCCTTTTAACCCCTCTCTGCTTTCTGCCAGACAGCCAATCTTTTCATAGGATCCTGACAGTGTGGAAACAGACCCTTCGGCCCAACAAGTCCACACTGACCCTCAGAGCATCCCACCTAGACTCATCCCTCTATGACCCTCCTAATCTACACATTCCTGAACACTACAGACAATTTCACATGGGCGCTCCACCTAACCTGCACATCTTTGGACTGTGGGAGGAAACTGGAGCACCCAGAGAAAACCCATGTAGACACGGGGAGAATGTGCAAACTCCACACAGATGGTCGTCTGAGGGTGGAATCAAACCCAGGCCCCTGGTGCTGTAAGGCAGCCGTGCTAACCACTGAGCCATCATGCCGCCCCCACCTAGCACCTTGCCTCTAACACCATGGGCCCTAATCTTACTCAGCAGCCTCCTGTGCGGCACCTTGTCAAAGGTCTTCTTGAAGTCGAGGTAGATAACATCCATTGGTTGTCTCCTTAAGAACTCTGTGGTGTAGTTCATCGGGTCGGTGATTTATCCACCTTCAGTTCCTTCAGTTTTTCTAGCACCCTCTCCTTGGTGATGGCCACCATACTCAACTCTGCCCCCTGACTGTCGAATTTTTGGGATATTACTTATGTCTTCCACTGTGAAGACTGATGCAAAGTAATGATTCAGTTCCTCAGCATTTCCTTGTTCCCCACTACTATCACTCCAGCGTCATTTTCTAGCAGTCCAATGTCCACTTTTGCCTCTGTTTTGCCCTTTATATATCTAACAAAACTTTTACAGTCCTCCTTTATATTACTGGCTAGCTTACCCTCATATTTAATCTTCTCCCTCCTTATTTCTTTCTTGTTGCCCTCTGTTGGTCTTTGTAAGCTTCCCAATCCTCTGGTTTCCCACTGCCCTTTGCCACATTATATGCTTTCTCTTTTGCTTTTATGCTATCTCTGACTTCCCTAGTCAGCCATGGTTGCCTCATTGTCCCTGTACTATGCTTATTTGTCCTAGGGGTGAATTTTTGCTGCGTCTCCTGAATTACTCCTAGAAACTCCTGCCATTGCTGTTCCACTGTCTTCCCTGCTAGGCTCCTCTCCCAGTCAATTCTGCCCAGCTCCTCCTTCATGCCTCTGTAGTTGCCCTTATTCAGCTGTAATACCATTACCTCTGATTCTATCTTGATAAGGTTCCACATGGTAGGCTCATTCAGAAAGTAAGGAGGCATGGGATTCAGGGAAATTTGGCTGCCTGGATACAAAACTGGCTGTCCAATAGAAGACAGAGGGTGGTAGAAGATGGAAAGTATTCATCCTGGAGCTCGGTGAACAGTGGTGTTCCACAGGGATCTGTTCTGGGACCCCTGCTCTTTGTGATCTTTATAAATGACTTGGATGAGGAAGTGGAAGGATGGGTTAGTAAGTTTGCCGATGACACAAAGGTTGATGGAGTTGTGGACAGCGTGGAGGGCTGTTGTAGGTTGCAAAGGGACATTGACAGGATGCAGAGCTGGGCAAAGAAGTGGCAGATGGAATTCAACCCAGAAAAGTATGAAGTGATTCATTTTGGAAGGTCAAATTTGAATGCAGAGTACAGGGTTAATGGCAGGATTCTCAGCAGTGTAGAAGAACAGAGGGGTCTTGGGGTCCACGTCCATAGATCCCTCAAAGTTCCTACCCTAAGTTGAGAGGGTTGTAAAGAAGGCGTATGGTGTGTTGGCTTTTATTGGCAGGGTAATTGAGTTTAACAGCCGTGAGGTTATGCTGCAGCTCTATAAAACTCTGGTTAGACCACACTTGAAATATTGTGTTCAGCTCTGGTCACCTCATTATTGGAAAGATGTGGAAGCTTTAGAGAGGGTGCAGAGGAGATTTACCAGGATGCTGCCTGGACTGGAGGGCAGATCTTATGAGGAAAGGTTGAGGGAGCTAGGACTATTTTCATTGGAGCGAAGAAGGATGAGAGGTGACTTGATAGATGTGTACAAGATGATGAGAGGCATAGATAGAGTGGATAGTCAGAGACTTCTTCCCAGGGCGGAAATGACTATTACAAGGGGGCATAATTTGAAGGTGATTGGAGGAAGGTATAGGGGAGATGTCAGAGGTAAGTTCTTTACACAGAGAGTGGTTGGCTTGTGGAATGCGCTGCCGGCAGTGTTAGTGGAGTCAGATACTTTAGAGACTTTTAAGCGACTCTTGGATAAGCACATGGAGGATAGAAAAATGTAGGGTATGCAGTGTAGATTGATCTTAGTAGGATTATAGGTCGGCACAACATCGTGGGCCGAAGGGCCTGTACTGTGCTGTACTGTTCTATGTTCTATCTTCTTCCTCTCAAATTGCAGAGTAAATTCAATTATATTATGATCACTGCCTTCTAAGGGTTCCTTCACCTTAAGTTCCCTTATCAAGTCTGCCTCATTGCACAACACTAAATCCAGTATTACTTGTTCCCCAGTGTGCTCCACTGCTAGCTGCTCCAAAAAGCCATCTCATAGACACTCCATGAATTCCTTTTCTTATAATCCACTACCAAGCTGGTAGTGCATTGCAAGAAAGTATAGTCTAATGATGTGGAGGTTGGGGATTTAGAAGTTACTGTCAAAGAAAACATGATGAGTTGCTGCAGTGCATCTTACAGATGGTACACATTCTTGCCATTGTGAACAGATGGTGCAAAGAGTTAAATTTTAAGTTGATTGATAGGGTGCCAATCAAACTGTAAAATAATAAGTAAAATATTGTAAACACAGGAGATCTGAAATAAAGGCAGAAAGTGCTGGAAAATCTCAGCAAGTTTGGCTGCATGTGTGGAGAAAGGTAGAGCTAATATTTTAAGTCCAATAACACCTTAAAAGCATTGGACTTGAAACATTCCACAAATGCTGCCACAACTGCTGAGATTTTCCAACATTTTCTGTTCTTTTTTTCTGCCATTCAAGCAGTTTGCTTTGTCGTGAATAGTGTTGTTAGGAGTTGCAGTTATCTGAGCAAAGGTATTACATCACACCTTGGATATGTACCCTGTAAAAAATGGGAAATCTTGGGACAGTCAGGATGTGAGTTATTTGTTGCAGAACACCCGATCTCTGTTTTGGATCACAGGGTGTATCCAAGCGGTTCTCTCGGATTCAGTTAAATATAATTAAGAGAAGTCGACAACAGCAATTTGCTTAAATATGGGTGTTTATTAAGCAATAACAATGATAATAATGAGTAAAAAATGGAAAGGAAAGAAAAAACAATAAGCCTCACGCCCTTCTGCCCGTCAAGGACCCCTCAATCGAATGCTGTTCTGGAGGCTTAAGTTCGTTCCTGGTA